CTTGTTCCTATTTCCGTAAACCATGAGCTAGCAGGATTTCTGGATATATATATGTAGAATCCCCTACCATTTTATGGAGTTTGTTACTCTGGGAAAAATTGTAATGCATATGATATCTTTTATCTTTAAACCTTCAAAAAAAAAAAAAAAAAAAAAAAAAAAAAAAAAAAAAAAAACTTCAAATGCTTTGTGTTGTGAGAGAGGCTCATTTAGGCTATAATACAGCCTGGTATTTTGAATGCTTTACCTGGGGTTCTGGAGTTCCATTAAAGAGGAAGAGAGTTATTAATATACAACTGTAGCCAGCAAAAGCCAGCACAGCAATGCTGCACTGCTGTCTTTAATCTTCTGTTTCTTTGCTTTAAGAACATATTCTTGATTTAATTTCAGGTGTGTTCCCTGTTAGCTTCACACATATCCCAGGGGGTGTCTATAGATTCTAAAAATCCTCATAACCACAAGCAACAGTGCTCAAAGAACACTACTTTGTATAACCAACATCGTTCCCTCAGAACTCAACACCTTAAATACTACAACCCTAACTCTTTTGTGTCCATAAAACATTACCAAGAAAGCAACAGTGATTGTTAGTAACCATCATAGGGGGAGGTAGGGAGGAGAGAAAGGAAACTGCTTTCTTGCTTCAGAAATAAATTCTGAAGGAAAGTGAACATAAGAATCTGGACACCTAAAGTTACAAAAAGCAACTGAGAAGACTTAATTCTATAGGCCACAATGGTTTTTCTCTACCTCAGGTACTAAAAGGAGTTCCTATACCAGAGCTCACCATGTATCCTTTCAAGATGGAATTCATAGTATTTGGGCCCTTTTGTTAAAAAGTTTTTATTTACTTTTAAATAAAGAGTTTGCTTATGAAAAAATGGACAATGGTAACATACCAGAGCCAGATCCAGAGGCAGTTACATCATAAATCAGATCTTTCAGGGTTTTTCCAGCATTTACCAGATTGCACTCAGAGAGTGGTTCCTCCACATTCGGTCTCTTTTTCTTCCTGTAGGAGCACTGTCGACCCTGGCATGCCCATATTGTCAGCATCGCAGCTATGGACAGGAGGCAAACAGGCACAGTAATAATGATGGCCAGCTCCATGGGTCCAAGTTTTGGGGCATTTGGTGATGCTAAAGTTTAAAGAAGAAAGAACATGACCATAAATCAACCCATTTTAAGTATTTTTGGAATTGGAATTGCAATCACCAAAATTTCACATCCAGAATATGCAGCTACACAGTATGCACTTATGTTCATTGGTAAAGGCTCTCTGTGGTATAAGAAAAGATGGAGAAAAAGAAATGGGATTAGGCTGCAGCTAGGAATGGTTATGGCAGGTGACAATAAGAAATATGATTAGGATACTGGAAACTAGCACATGGGATCTGTTTTACGATCTCTGAAGCATTTCACTCTTTTCTATCTACTATTTTTCCTCCATTATTCAGCAGTACACTTTTTTTTTTTTCTCACTCTATCACCCAGGCTGGAGTGCAGGGGTGCAATCTGGGCTCACTGCAACCTCCACCTCCCAGGTTCAAGCCATTCTCCTGCCTCAGCCTCCTGAGTAGCTGAGACTACAGGCGCCCACCACCACACCCGGCTAATTTTTGTATTTTTATTAGAGACAGAGTTTCACCATGTTGGCCAGGCTGGTCTCAAACTCCTGACCTCAGGTGATCCACCCACCTCAGCCTCCCAAAGTGCTGAGATTACAGGTGTGAGCCACCATGCCTGGCCACAGTAGTCCACTTTTAAAGTATGTACATTCATTCTTTCATGCCGAAATAATTATTGGGCTCTTGCAATGTGTTGCTGCTATTCCAGGTGCTGGATATACAATGGTGAGGAAAGAGCCCAAATTCCTGTTCTTGAGTCATATATGTTCTCACTCATCTACTAAACAGATGTTTAACACAAAAGCAAGAAAGAATGGTGCTACCAAAAAAAAAAAAAAAAAAATGAAGCAGGGAAGAGAGAGGGAATGATGGTGGGATGAAAAGTATTAAGAAAAGGACTGTGAATTTTATTCTAAAAGGTTGTTTCAGGGTTTTGGTAGGTGAGAAGCATGATCTAACTTTTATTCTGAGTGGCCGCTGTGTGAATAGACACTAGAGAATCAAGAATAAACGTGAATAGGCCAATTAGAAACCTAATGCAAGAAGCCAGTTGGGAGACCGTGGTGTTGGCTGACAACCTTACCTAAAATAGCACTTCGTTCCCATTCCCTGTACACTCTCAAGACCCTTGTCCTGCTTGATTTTAAATCCTAGCTCTGATCACCACCTAACACATCACATACTCATTTATTGATTACCCAGTTCCCTCCAGAAGACATAAGCTTTGGGAGAGGAAGAAGTCTGCCTGCTTTGTTCCCAGCCATATGTCCAGTGTTTACAATGATGCCTGACACATAGTAGATGATCAGTAAATAGTTCTTCAATGACAGAATCACTAAAAGTTCTACTAGTGGTATTCCTATAAGAGACAAGACTTTTCATTTTAGAAAAATAAATGTGATCATTGAAACCAAGTAACATAAGGATATAATTAAATTTGTGATTCTAATTTTAAAAACACATGAAGCCAATTTTTTTTTTTGCTTAAACTTCATCTTGCATTTCAGAAATCTTTTTTTAATTTAAAAAAAAAAGTGATACATGAAAAATCTATGATGACAGATAATTTCCTGTGTTTTTCAAAGAAGTTATTTTGACACTTGAAACTGACACATTGTTCATTTCCTTTTCATTGACTAAAGATAGCCTCTGCATCAATCCCATTTCATCCCTTTGTCCTACTACTGTGGTGTTGATTTTTGTTTTTAATAAATCTTACAGCATATTTGATAGACTATGGGAACAGAATTGAAGAGACTTAGGTTCTCAAACATCAAGGAGAAGGAGAGGAATCCAGGTTTTAGAGACAGAGACACCAGCTCCACCTGTGGGCTGCCATCTTCTTGCTGTGAACCTTTGGCAAACTGCCTCCCCAGCTGATTCCTCACAGACCAAAGAATGGGAGACTATGCTTGGAAATCAATAGCCTGACACCAGCACCAGGGCATCTAAACAAATGGCAATGATAATGGGCCTTGATAGTTTCGCCATTCCCCAGATGTCTTCCTTTGCACTGACAATGCTAAAGAGCTTAATATCTTAGATGTTCTTACACTTTACCTACAATGTGTCAAAAAATACATGACTATCACTGAAAACAAATATTATTTAATTCTGAAGGAAAAAGAATCAAATTCCTCACAAATGTGTTCATAGAAATTTCACTATAATGCCAAAGATAGTAGTTTATCTACTATCAGTAAGTAAAATATTTAAAATTGTTAAGTGAACTTCAGAAACGATCATAATCCGTGCTGTTCTACTACTTTGCCTAGTGAATTTTAACTGATTACCAACTTTTCTTCCCTGAGTGTTTCAGAATTCCTCTGAAATCATTAGTAGTTATACAGGTGCATATGAGGAGAAATTGGCCTACAGTGTTCTTAGAATAGGTACTAAAAGAATTCTCTGACTTGACTTTGTTTTAGTAATCATTAGCCACGGTACTTCCAACTTCTGAAGTTTGCTGTTCTAAAATTGTGTATTTCACAATGATCTTTCAAACTGTCTCTATATTTTTATGTCTGCACAAAGGTATTCCAGTTTTTCTAAAAAAGCCACAGAATGCATTTAATCTCCTGCATCTTACATAAACATCTACTTAAACGTGTTTTTAAATACACAATTCCACTATTGAATACAATTACATGACTAAATTTTATTTTGATATGTGTTATTAGGAACCATCAATAAAACATTAGCATTAACAAGCTTATTGATCGTCATCATTTTTGTAAAGCTCTATTAAGCAGAGCTCAGATCATCACTATAGCAACTAATAAAAAAGCAAAAGGTCAGCAACCCTAAAAATAGAATAATCTCCATAAAAGTACACCACTCTAGCAATGGCTATGGCTCTCAGAGATGTTTATTATAGATGAACAATGTTTCTACTTTTGTGAACAAATTTACCAATATGAGTCAGTAAAGAAAAAAGATTACTCAGCTAGAAAAAGTCTAGCAACACCACTCTGGAAGAACTCCTTAAACACTGAGGAATTTTAAAAGCAAACATTTGTAAAACTATGCTTTAAACGTAATGCTGATGATACTCACTAGAGGAGATAAATGAAAAAAAAACAACTGTAGTCTACATCCAGCGAATCATGGTACAAGAAAACAATCATGCAGCTGAGAATAGGTTTCAATAATAGCTAACTTTAATGAACATATTAATTTTTCTTATATTCTTGATCACAGGAAAACTCTTATTATTTATATGCTTTGCAATTTAGGGGATTTTCTGTGCCAAGTGAGATGCATTCTCCATGGAATTAGCAGCTCCATGGAGGGACATGTTAAATCCCAAAAGTGAGGTGGGAGGAGGGCTGCATTGTTAATTCAAGTCATTTCACTCCTTAGAAAATTAGATTGAAGAGGATGGGGAAAATGAGAAAAAAGCACTAACCCAGAAAGGGTGAGGGCCTAGCTGACAAATATTTCCCCAAAATAAGCCCTACAATATGTTAAACTGAGAAAATGCAAGGGAAGGAAGTATTAACAGGATAGCAGGAAGAGAAGGGGGAAGGGAGAGAAGGAGAGAGGGAAGGAAGGAAAGAGGAAGGAAGGAAGGAAGGAAGGAAGGAAGGAAGGAAGGAAGGAAGGAAGGAAGGA